TCTTTGCGAGACAGATATCGCTGCTGCTCCGCCTTGGCAACGCCTGGTCAACTAGGGAAGATCTCCTGGCAAAGCTTAGAGAGCAACAGGAGTCTGTCCTCCACGGCGTTGCACCGCAAGCGCCGCCCCCAAAGCAGACAGATGAAGCCGAAAACCTGTCCATGTTGGCTGAGATCTGCAGAAGGACCCTAGAGTTCGTACCGGCTGTCTCGCAAGTCATGAGAGCCGACATCTTGGCTGCATTGAAGAACAACCTTACCGAGGAAGAGTCCCCGATCCTCAACCCCATTCTTGCAGAGGCTATCGACAATCTTGTTGCATCATTCGCATTCTCCGTGGCGCAGCAGATTCTTGCTCAAACGTCGAGCAAAGCACTGCCCATCCCCCCATCGACTTTGACTCCCTCCGACGGCCATGAGCCAAAGTCATCAATTCCAGAGTTGAAAACCATGCTACACCCAGCTCGAAACTCGTCTCTGCGTGTGGGAACGGGTTCCAACACAAGTACTAGACCGCCGCCCAGTCCTGGAGTGTTTCCCGGGGGGACAGGCCCCAACCCCGATGACAACACAGCACCCAACGCTCAATTTCTCAAAGCTGGCCTAGAGGAACTCGCTGCGCGTCGTGCAGAACTCTATGCTCTGTCTAGGAACGTCCTCCAAGGCAGCGGAAAAAAACGAGGCTGGGATATTGGATGGACATCTGCGCCAGTACTAGGGGAAATGGATGGCAACGACTTTGAAGACATTGATCTCGACGGCGATGATCACGAGTCCCAGACAGACAACCCGGATCCGCTCTGCATAGGGCTGGCTGGTATTGAGAACGGCCTTCTACACACTGCCCTTGACAATCGGGACGACTTCTATCGCCTCTACGAAACACTCACGGACAAGGCCTTGCGTCATTACACCGTGGCCAACCACACTCATGCAGTCAAGACAAGCATGGCCGACCTCGCCGTGCTCAAGTATCACCTTGGCGAGTATGGCCCGGCCGCTTCATACTTCTACATGACTACCCCATTTTTCGGGGAGAACAGCTGGAGCCTGTTGGAGCTGTCTATGCTTGTCATGTATTCTCGATGTCTGAAAGAGCTTCAGCGCAAGGAAGAATTTGTCCGTGTGGGACTGAAGCTCTTGACGAAGGCCGCAGCCGCAGAAAATGAGAGGCTTCAACAGAAGAAGCCCTCGCTTGGAGCTCACTCGGAGGTTCAGTACCCCGAGCAAAGCGCCATCGCTGGGTTTCTCGATGAGGTATTGAGTGTAGCCAAGACCCTATCCAACGAGGTTAGGGTGCCTCTGGGGCATCTTTTCACACAAGTCGAAGTTGTCGGGCATCCAGCCTACCACACTGGCAAAGACTGCTTCTCTCTCACCATCAAACTAAGAAGCTTGCTCATAGATGACCTAAGCTTGGAGAAGGCCGCCATACGCTTGTCCAGGATGTCCGGAGGAACAAAGGAGCTTTGGTTATACACTTCCGAAGCGAACATTCTCAAGCCAGGGATCAACGAGTTGCGGCTTACCAGCACTGTAAGTGGTATGCTGGCGATATGAGAGAAATTTGAATTAACAGACGATAGACCAATGTCGCCGGTCACTACAGGATTGACCGGGCAGATTTGATTTGCAACAAAGTTGACTTACACTGGGAGCGAGATGTCAACCAAACACCTAGCAAGACGGCGCAGATCTTCCGTCTTCCCGACCTGGAACTTTATCGCCCTGCCGGCGGTTTAAGTTGTCGCTTAACGGCGGCAAGAGACATTCAACTGGACAAAAACAATTCACTCGACTTGGAACTCTCGACGGGATGGAACCCTATCAAGTCTTGTGAGCTTTCGGTCAAGCCATCGACTGGCGGCCTTCGAATTATTTCGACCGAAGCAACGTTCCTTGGACCTGCACTAGAATACGAGAAGCCTTTGGAGGCCGGACTTTTTCGCTTCGGAAGCACCTCCGCGTCGTCCGCCATTAAAATGCGTTTCCCGTACACCATCGAGCAGGATGTTCCCAGCATATCGGCTAGAGTCGAAATGACGTATACTACAGACGAGGGCACTTTCACCTACTCTAACGTGTTCTCAGTCCCCGTGGCACTCGCCTTAGGCGTTAATGTACAGGACGTTTTCAAGCACAACGCTTTATTCTCCCGCTTCAGCGTCTCCACAGCCTCGCTGAGCCCGCTCAGAGTGTTCAAAACACATCTGATCGACTCGGATGTCTTTGCTGCCCATTCTGCAGCTCCGCCAAACAAGTCCGTCATGGTGTTTCCGAAGCAGCCTGCCAGTTTGCTTTACAAGATAACACGTAAAGCTTCAGGCAACACCACACCCAAGACCCAGCGGACCCTGTATCTCAAGCTTCATTATAGCGTTGTCTTGGATGAGATAATTGTTTTTGTTGAAGACTCTCTGTCAAAGTTCATCGAAGAATCTCCTCTTTCCTCGTTCTCAGGCCTTTTGATCAACCGAGCACTTGCAGAGGTGCGGTCTAGCCTTTCGGCTTATGATTTGGAGCGAGCTGCTCTCCTCGGCGAGGTCTCTACGGCCTTCGTATTGCCTTTGCTGACAGAGAAGATCTTCAGAGGTCTGGGTACAGTCCCCGGCGGCAAAGAAGACGCCTCTAAAGCTCTGCGAGCATTCCTTCTTTCCTGGCAGTCAACGTATCCAAAGTTGACCATCAAAGGAATCGAGTCGACCAGTCGATCAATTCTCATCCCTGTCGACGTCCCCTCGATTCCCGTTTTCCACTCGGTCGACATTCAGTTTCCACCCGCCGACGAACAAGTCGCGGGTTCGGCCCTGGCCGTCAACCAGTTGCTGTCTGCCAATCTACGTTTACGCTGGACTCGCATCTGGGACACGGCTGTCAGTGATGGCAAAGGCATCAATAGGGACTACGAGTTCAGCTTTGATGTGACTGGTCCAGGTGATACATGGCTTATTGGCGGCCGGAAGCGCGGCAACTTCAAGAGTCTGGGAGTAGACAAGTCGGACGCCAAGTTTGGAGAATCCGAGTTGCATGTTCCCGTGCTCATCGTACCGCTGCGTGAAGGACGGTTGCCCTACCCCAACGTGGAGATTCGCGAGGTCAAGAAGGAGGAGAATGACGAGACAGCTGGTCATCATGAGATCGATTACCAAAACATTGGCGAGACAGTACGGGTCGTTGCTGACTTGCAGCGTGTGACGCTGAGTCTAGATGCCAGTGGTCCCAGTGGTGGTCCGTTGGTTCTCGAGAGCGAGCGGCGCGAGTTCCATCATCGTATTTTGCTGTGATGATGCGATAGATGTCTTTCTTCAGCCATTTACCTAGCTGTGTGTTATAGATAATGACGAATACTACGAGAGTAAGTTGAAGCCAATTCGCATTGGGTTCAATCAATAGTGAGCTCAGATAATGTTCATGACCATGCCGGCAGGCGTGCTGCCGCTCTTCTCGGGGTTGCCGTTCTCCCCCTATGAGCTAGCGGCAACTTCACGTTGCCCGACGAATCCATGTGACTGCCCGCTCGTTCCACTTTGAGGCTCCGCGATGGCTACCAAGCCAATAAGTGTTTGCAAGCGACCAACATATCCACTTCGAGTCCAGGACAGGAAGGTACTTGAGCTGTGCCTCAGTCCTCGTGACCAATCGGGCGTTGCTCCCCGCTACGCCGTAATTCAGTCATTCAACAAGGCCTCATCCGTCACCACGGAAGTGGTCGGCCCTCTACTCACTGTGCCAATGCACCTTGGCAACTAGAAGATCCATTTATAAATATCAGCTACACAACGCCTCTGGAGAGAGACTGCATATTTTCAACTTGAGTCTACAGCAGATCAATCCAATAACCACTTGGCGACAAGAAAACACGATTTGTGCCAGAATTTCGCTCCAAGACTGTCGATCGATTGTCCTTTGCTCAGCGCGATCATATTAAGACTGCCTTTCCCTCACACGTACGCGGAACGAATCTCCTGTCACCAGATCAGTCCAATCGAGAGCTGTCTACAACCATCCTCTCTGGAGCACAAGCGTTCAGATCAACATGTCTGATCAACTCAGCAAAACCGAGAGTCAAACGCCGCTTGTAAAGCACGAAACTTCCAAGTCCAAGCCAACATCTACGCCAAAGAAAAGATCACTCTATCAACGCATGCAAGACCGAAACCGAGTTGAGATTTCAGAGGAGGAGTTGCAAAAGTACACGGGAATGAGCAAGGCGGGTCTGCAGGATTGGGCCAAGGACCGCCCAGGTGTTGGAGCAAAGACACTCGCTAACACGGGGAAGAAATTTGAGTCTTGGGAATCTATGCGTGTCACTACAGGGATTATGTGAAGTTAATGATTTGCATTGGATGGGTTTGAGGATAGAATAACTGAGCTGCAGATTCATCATTCTGAAGACTGTCAACCAAATATACTAAGTGAACACGTAACAATTGGTATGAAGTTCGATTTAAAGCCAACGGTGGAAACACATATTTTGAGATGGGCTTACAATACTCCTAATGCCGAGTGTAGTCACCTAAGGTAGCATCACGTGGCAAAAAGGGTTCCAGACATAACCTTTCACATTGAAGTTTGGATCCATCACCCCGATGACTAGGGTACGACAATGGCACAAAGACCTTTCAAGCTATACGACGAAGTTGCAATTAGCCTTGGGCTAAGAATCACTCATGTTCACTTGATGGGAAATGTTACTTGTGGAAATGAAAATGGGCCAGAGATACTGGAAAAGTTCGCCAGCTGAATAATCGTTTCGATAGCATATCTGAGGCCTAACATCAAATCATAACAAGTCTAGATAGTATATTAAGATATAAAGCAAAAGAAGCCAGATTTTGTGATGTCTTTTTGCAGGATATATTGCCAGCTCAACAAATAATGAGTTAATGTAAATGTGCGAGTAGCGTTCAACCGAGTTATCATTGCTATCGCGGATTACGTCCCTGGAGGTTGAGTCGGAAGTCAATAGCCTTGCAAATGTCCTAGTCAACTCAATCCGAGATGTCGCTTGAAAACGAATTTGGCGCTATTCTCTGTACCTGCTTCATTTCAAGCAATGCACCCAACGAAATTGATGGAACCACAGCCTGGTTATTCACGGGAGTAAAACGATCACGCATTCACATGGGTAAAGTAAATTGACGAAAGGTAAAGCAACGAATGGGATCCCAATTTCTACAAACAAAAAGCAAAACAAATTCGAACCGTGTACAATCTACTGTTACATGAGATAGCGAGCTTCCTGTGACCGACCTCTTCCTTAGCCGACGAGGGTCTGGCACTCGGCCTCAGCCTTGTTCAGCTCTCCAATAGCCGCGGCCTCGCAGCCAGCAAATCCGACAACATCGAGGAAGATTCCGAGAGGGCCGCTAACGGCAGCAAGACCCAGCGCGGCAGCACCGCAGACCGCAATCTCTCCCACAGCAGCCGTAACGGCGCCAGTCTAGCATTGGCTGCAGAGAGTGCCGCAGTTCATCTAACTGAGGCGGCGACCCCTGCCACCGCCGGTCTCGATAGCCTCCATCGCAGCATTGCGAGCTCCCTAAAGTCTGTCCTGGGACTGCTTGAGCCTAGGGTCCTGGCGGGCGATGAACTGGCTAGCGCCCTCGTGGTTGGTAATGGGGCTGGGAGCAGCCATGCCGGTGGCGGCAAGGAGAGTGACGAGAATGGCAGAGGCGTGCATCTTGATAGTTTTTTGGTTGTTGGTGTTGGTGTTGGTGTTGTGAGTTGAAAGACGGTTGGTTTTAAATGAGTGTAGATACTGATTGTTTGAAGGAATGAGCTGAATAGTGTTGTAGTGTGGAATAATTGTGATGAAGAGAGAAGTATGTACCCTTAACGGGGGAATAACTTGATCCTTTATACTTTCTGAGTCTACCTCATTCTAGTGTCTCTTCGTCTTTGGGACTCTGAGGCGATTACCTCCGGATGATCCAATTGCCTGTACAAGATCTCTCGCACGTTATCCCGTCAATATCTCAAGACGTAGCGACACGGCAAGACCGATTCGTATGCTATATGCATCACTCTGTATAGTGCTTAGTGATCTATAAGTCTTGGCTGCGACGAAAGATGAACTTTCTCAAAGGAGGCAGAGTTCAGAAGAAGCAGAAGTGGCTACATCGAACCAGAATTGGCTGCATCAGATTCTGGATCAGGCCTAGTTCTAGTTCTTGGCGAGGAAGGTCGTGTATTTTGCAGTATCATTGTCCTGCCAAGGCATGTTCAAACTGTTAGATCAGTGTTTCCGGGGTCCCCGGTACTATCAGTAGGACACACAACGATAGAAGCGGCTATTAAAGTTAGGAATAAGAGTCTGGAGTGCAGATGCCGTGCGGTTTAGTACATGTGGATAGTACATGTATTCTCCCGGTAACCGGTGCAGTGAATAAGCCCTCTTACGGGCCGTGCTTGCGCTAGCTCGTTAAAGTACATGTAGGTTTAAGCTTGACGGGGAACTACAGTTTCCGATTTATCATAGATGAGATCCGCTGATGTGGACGGGACCATCAGGCGAGCCTTGACGTTAGCGGCCCGATAAGGCCATAATACCCCGGCCGGTAAGGGTTCTGGCACGAGGCAAAAATGGGTGGTTGAAGAGTCATTTCCCCGTCCATGTCACTGTCTGTGCAGCGGCGTTTGGATTGATACACTATAAATAGCCTTCCACTGTAATGGATCTTGTCACATGTGGGAGAGGCCATAACCTATACTGACAGATAGCCATGAGCTACATGCAGGTTCGTTATCCTGCCGTTCGGCCTAGATTTTGTGTTGATTCGGGGTCATCCAAATCCAAGGCGCCGGCTGAAAGTGTATAAGTTCATCGCAACCTGTCGCATGATCGGCGACGGGAATCATGCCAAGTATTGGGATCCTTGACGAACTACAGATGCCAAGGATATGCTCGCTTTTATCCCGGTCATTGGCCGACAGTTAATGTACTCCGTAGTTCTGCAAGTATAACATCCGCACGTCACATACAACATCGCTAGACAATACATATTAATATTCTCGTTCAGGATTTTAGTCGCGACGGCCCACAAGTATCAACGGCTTTATCTTTCGTAACGTACATTCAACCAATAAGTAAGCAATGCGCACCGGCAGCCTCTCAGCACTTCACCGGCGTTCAATTGCCGCTGTACAGAAGTAACGGTCACGCGAGTCGGTTAGATAGTTCGTGTGACCAAAGCAGTCTTCCATTCGCAAAAGTCACAACCGCACCTTAGTCATGAGTCAAAAGAGTTGAGACAACCTCTAGACTGGCAAGGTTGATCATTGATGTCTGCAGGAAAGCGAGCTTTTGACTCACGCGCTAAATCACACTGGACTCGTTCTAGACGTGAGGGCCCCTGACAATCTGCACATGCCCGGTATCAACATACTGCCCTAGAGCCTGTTCAATCCCCAGCAGGGATGTCATCGCCTTTGCCATTGTGTTTGAGAACACGGTCAGGGTCCAGGTATGTAAAGTTACGATGGATTTGGAGCCTTATTGAGGGCTCTGCCCTATGGGCCTCGACAAGTGTTGAGTGTACTCGGCCATGGAGGGGATTGTGGCCGCTTCTCAAGCGGTTGCGAGACTAATTCCCATTGCGGGAGTCTGGTAAGATGGTTTGGGGCTCGGCTTGGTCAAGGATATCATGAGGTTAATCAGATTGATGGCCTATCGTGCCAGGTGGAGGCTGCAGCGACCATTTTATGAACAGTTGCCAATCGAGCTTTTGTATGTGCACTAGCGTCGCGGCTTCAACTAACTTGAAGTCATACTTTCCAAGGTAGGCTTTTGCTTGCGAGACTCAAGATACTAGCCCATACAAGGGCATAATTTTTAGGACCAAACGGAAAATGGATTCGCTCACTTCCGTGCATGTACCGAGAGCCTGTTGCCAAAACTCTCGGCGTATTGACTATCACTCTAAAAAGTATACATGGGCCAAACTCTGTAAAAGGTGGTATAACGCCCATGGATCTAGGTGCAAGACTCAAAGACTTTTGATCTTGGCGAAGAAGGCCACTTCGTGATATTAGGGCGGGGGGCTAACCATTGAGTCCGGCTAGCGGGCAGGTCAGTCTAGATTAGAAATATCTTCATGTAATAATGCATACAACTCTTGGCGAATGATGATAATTAGAGGGGAAGGTTGCCATACCTCCTATTCGCTTTAATCATAACAAGAGGAATCGCTATTCTAACTCTATTAAGTGGATAAATTATAATGTTTTGAGCACTGGCGGCTTGGATGTAGCTTGTGAGATCCATGTTGCTAGGTTTGCTAGATACCCGATTCCGGTTGTGGAAGTCACCTGACACATAGGGAACAATTAGTATGGGATAGGAAAAATCGGCTTTATTAGATTTGGCCTAAATTCAATCATCTTATCTTGATTCAGGGGCTTGAGTAGCACGCGACAACATTTGAATGATTTCAGTCAATGGCATTTGACCAAAATTAAAGCCGATTGTAGGTGAAGGGAGCCTAGGGGACTTCCACTGATTCCCGCAGTGGATTCAGTCTCTTGTACTTGACGTGAACCACTGACTTGGATCTCGAAGGCAACCGGAATTTACGGGCCACCTGCTAATGCCACTCCCTTCTCCTTGCGCTGCAGTCTAACGCCGATTTATCTTGACTAATCACACTTCAGAGGAAGTTGCAAATACCGATATTATGTCTTTGGTGTGAAGATCTTGTGCTGCTGCTTAATACGCACAAGGGGCTCTGGTACATCTGCTCAAGGAAGTCCTTTGTATAGATGTGTGTCCTAAACAGAACGAACTGACCTCGGCGACATTTGCCAACTTTGAAGGTAGAATAACATAAGATAAGCCTATATAATTCATCATCTTACAAAACACATTATGAGTTCCATCCATTCACTGGTGTCAAGTGGCGTAGGCCTTACGCCATCGTCGGTAAGCCAGTCTGTGCCTGGCTCGCAGATAACAATGGACCCTTGAGCATTTCAGTTTTCAGCTCACTCCATTCTTTCGTGGAAAGAAGTATCTATTCTCCACAATCCCCTGTGTAGGAGAAAGCATAGCAGATAGGATTCACTCGTGACCGGCCTGAGATGAACCATCCCGCAGTATCAAGTGCTTTGAGCTCTGCGTGGGTCTGAGCGTGGAGGATGAAGTTTTGAAGCTCAAGAACTCGGTCGCAGGAGGAGCGAATTTCAGGAGCTGTAAAGTTGTGTTGTTGGAGTACAGTCCGTGCTACCTCACGGATGATGACGGGTCTAGGGCATACTCCCAAGGATGATTGTGTCGTGGTGAGATGACCCTCGAGGGCGTTGACGAGCGTTGTTTTACCGGTACCAGGGGGATTGGCGAAGCCGCTAGTACGTGGCGTTGATCAAGCGAGGAACCGCTGTTGCCAGTCCCCCGCTTCCATGGTGGCAGATCAAAGTCTATATCAAACGTGGGAAAGTGTTTGATTTACCCGTCTCCGGGCGTTGTGTCGTCATTGCCTGTTATCCATTGGAGTGGGAGAGTCCGGCTTCTATTGGCCGAAGTTTGCCTTTTGGTCAAGAGGGGGAGACAGCTATCCCGCGAGCAATTTCTTCCGGTCACCAAACAACATGGCGTCACACTCCCTGAAAGCGTACGACCAGATTTTATAAGATTCAATATCTCTTGACAATGTAGAGTGCAACTATCATGCTTCCTTACTACCATCGCCCTCTTAAATCAATGAGGCTCGCTTGGTCAACTCGGCACGGTGGCGCTAACAGCTGAGGGCTGTGTTCACCGGCTTGACCCTCGCCTCCTGACAGAATCTCCGAGTCGCGCAATCTCTCAATTTTCGTGCAATCAATTTATTATCATATAGTTTGCCGGCTTCCGTTCATCAAACAATCTGTCTACCACCTCCATAGGCACCCAGCCTACCATTTACCGAGAATGCGCTAAGTACATACTCAGGCTCCTGCGTGCAGGCTTGTCTATCAATGGCACAGCATAACACTTCTACGGCCACAGCAACAGCCAGATCAAGTCACGCGCATGCCTCTTGCTGGCTGCCATAAAGGTGGAAATCTCAAAAACCGTGGGTGCCATGGGCGACTTCGCTAACATGAGGACAGTGCAGAAGAAGGCGAAGAGAATCGGTCTGCTATTCTCAACGGCACGGACTACACCATCCGTTGAACCGAGGCGGTATGAAGATATTTCCGACGTCGAAACGGCACATTACATTTTTACAGATGGCTGCGGGCTAATATTTCCGCATCTCTCCCAGGAGCTGGCAAGAAGAATTCGTATTGTCTCCAGGACTGTTCGATACACTCCGTCCGTCTTCTAGATCAGATACCATGGGTACAAAGGGGTCACAACATTGGATCCGACGATGAAGCGAGATGGTAGATCGCTGAGATTGCGCAAGTCCATGAAGAAGTTCAGTGGCGGACACAACGAAAGCTTTTCGGTTGTCGAGTAATTAATGGTCTGTCGGTCATCTTTGCCAATCGATGATCTCTTTTCTACCCAAAACATCACGAATATCAATAGCTAAGATACTTAGCAGTCTTACGGATTCGACTATCTGAATGACGAAGTGATTTTTTTGCTGCATTCTTTTGGCGCCACATCCGAGGTCTTGATGCAGAAACAGCGAGAACATGTTGACTTGCTTGCGAGCGCTACCTCCGATTTGATATCAGGCCTAGCATCGCGGCACTAGTCAACTCTGAGCACTCTAAACTACCTGTCAAAGATCGCGGCAGTGAGCAGCGTTGCCACATTGTCATTCCAAAATTACGTCTGTTATTTGGCGTTGGAGATGCTTGGGGCGTCCTGAAGGAGGGAGAGTGCCAAGTTCGAGTTACTATGGATCGAGATGGGCTACCCGTAACACTGACGGGAACGGAAGTAATTGTTACAAGAAATCCCTGTCTGCATCCTGGCGACTTGCAGAAGTTTCAGCTGGTTCAAAGGCCAGAGTTTCCTCACCTTGTCCACTATATTGTTTTGTCATCCAAAGAAAAACAGCCGGCTGCTGACCACACGTATGGCGGCGACTTGAACGGCGACATCTGTGGGTTGATCCCTTCAAGCTTTTGCTACTATTGCGAGCTAACGATAGACGACGTCCAGTTTTCGTATCGTGCGATGAAGATATACTGGGCTGTTGCGCCCCGGCATCGATGCCGACAAAAGAGAGATGTTTCTATCCATTTTCCCTTGGCCGATGGTAGAGAATTCCGATCGACATAGCCATGATTATCGCTCGAGAACAGGGATTCGACACTATCACCGCATGGCCTTTGTTGATTGTGCCACCCCGGAGGAACTGGGCCAGAAGTCAAAGTGCAACAAAGGCCAAGCTGCACTGTGTGGCAAAGTGTGCGATCTTCTTGATCAAGGATTTCCGGGTCCAGATGCATTATCGTCAGCTGCCGGAGAGGTACCGAGGCATTTCATCTAAATCTTGACGCCTTGTAGCCGCCAAGCCGACCTCCTCAAGCGAACGCCCTCTGGCCACAAGGGACTTGTTGAGGTTTGCAGTATCGACGGGTTTCAGAGGAGGCAGGCCGGTATCGTCGCGTTCGTTACGGTACGGTGCAACTCAGACTGCGAGATTGTGTTCCTCAAGGATATGAGGAGGCTAAATGTCGCTTTGACTAGAGCGAAGACGGGGTTGATCCATTTTGGGCATAAACCAACGCTCACAACTGTGAATGCAGGCGACGAAAGCACAGCCATGTGGAAAAGGTTAATTTCCGGATTGAAGGCCGTCAGATTAGATCATTAAGCATACGGTATTAATTCAACACCGATGAAATTACTATATACGACAACATTTCCATTGCTTTTGGTGACCAGCGACAACACCCTAGCTACCTTCATGTTGTGCACATTCCAAGACCTTCACTTTACTGCTCGGGAATGCTACCACATATCACTTTCTATATCCACAAATACTTATAGTGATCCACAACAACGCTAGGCTCTCAATTATCTTTGTTCCCGGTGCCTTAATGCTTCGTAGTTTCGGGGTCTCACCGTCTCATGGTCCTTCGCGAATATTATGTATCCGTTGTCGGCCTGTTGAGGACACGAACTTGCAAAGCAAATCGAATCACAATCTTAACAATGTTATTGGGGTAGGGTAATTACTAGGCATTGCCAACTTCAGCCCTGAGACTTCGATTGTGGCTAAGGGAAGGAAAGTTGTATGATACACACATCGATATGCAGGCACAGGGCGAGAGAAAATTCACAATCAGGATGCTGATGGGGTATTGCGCCAATCCTACTGATACATTCAAATACTGAACAGTCCTGCTCATGTCTCGATGATAGTTCTTGGATCACTGTTCAATGGCGAGAGCCTAATCGTTCGCAGTTGGGTGGGCCTTATGCATTGTCTTAATGTACGGATACCGGGGCTTTTATGCACGCGGGGTTCGGCTTTTTCCCTTTTTGGGACCAGGTGGATTTTGTTATTTTTGTTACTTGTCTCTTCTTTTCTGTCTGCGAAGAACTCTATTTTCTCGTAGCACGCCCACGTCTCTACCCAGACAAAGTTTGGCTTTACAAGTGGAATCAACTGCTGCCAAGATCATCAGACGACATTTCAGAATTTCTTTACCCATTGCAAAACCCTGCCATGACCAGACTGCCCAGTCCACGTGATGTGGAAACCACCATCAATTACTATCGAGATCCCGGCGATGGAAGCGAGCATGCACCAAGCATTGCGGGAAAGCGAAGCACGTTCACCCAGCCATCAGTCAATTTTCCCACGGTTGTTCACGATATCACTGGGGATGAAAGCAGCTTCACTCTCGACAGCCATGGATTTCAGCTCTATCGCCACACTAGCCAATTAGTGGACTTTACAAGTGATCAACGAATAAAAGACGTTTATTACCCCGAGATCGAAAAGCTTCTATCGCTAGTGTGAGTCTTCCTTTTAGGCCCTGGCAAGCGGGTTAGTCCCTAATAAAACCTAGCACCGGTGCCTCACGCTTGCACATTTTCGACCACACCATTCGGAGACCGAATCCCTCAGCCGCGCACTCTGATGACGAACGCCGACCAGTGAAAAGAGCTCACATCGACCAGTCAGAGTGGGGGGCTATGAACCAAGTCAAACGTCACTTAGGCGAAGAAGCGTCTCGACTATTGCAATCACGATTTCAGGTTATCAACGTTTGGCGCCCAATCAAGACGATCTACAAAGATCCTCTCGCGGTTTGCGACTCTCATTCGGTGTTGGACACAGACATCTTGCCAGTCAAGCTCATTTACCCGGACTGGGTAGGCGAACCATGTACAATTCTTCCCAACAGCAGGCATCGCTGGTACTATAAAAGCTTTCAAACACCAGAAGAGGTGATGCTTATCAAGTGTTATGACTGGAAGGCGGATGGGCGCGCTCGCAGGGTTCCGCACGCCGCATTTACGGATGCGGGAATGGTTGACAAAGACCCAAGACAGAGTATCGAGGTCAGAGTGCTTGTTTTCCATGAGGAAGACGTGAGTCAAGTCTAAATAAGTAGATTCCCGTTCTATTTCATCGTTCTTGAAGTTCCCGCCTCATTTGACCTGTTTCGCTTCCGTCGACCTGGCAATCAGGGCAACGAGAGCCTTCGTCGGTGAACGCAGATGAGTCGGAAAATCCCAACGTCCTTGTGTGCTAAAAATTACAAGCGGCTGATGCATCGAGTTACGTTACAATATTGATATTCCCCAAACATTGAAGACGCTAGTCATGTACCAAGCAAGGCTCTTCGCGCTAATGAGATTCAGTTGTCGTATTTGGTGCTTGCATCGATATGTTAGCAAGCATGTGAATATCTCAAATTTGTTGGCGCCACAGATGGTGCATCAAGAATCAGACCAACTGCCGTACCGGTAATTTCGCTCCCGCAGAGCCCAATACCTGTACTGATGTTCAACCAGATACACCCTTGGTCGCATAACTTATTGATGCCCAATAGAGTTCACTTACACTACTAAGGACCCGAGGTCTTGACGAATGGTGGCTCGAGCATTCGACGGCCGGGATTCGCCCGAAGTAGTAACCCGCCGAAAGCCTTCCATGAGCATTGTGCTTTTTACTGTAGCCTCGTGATTCGTTTCCGACGTTGTGTCCGTCTTCTGTCTCATTCTTCTGGCTTTCAATCTATTCAGTCTGGCTACGATTTACAGCACTTCCTTTATTTCAAAATGCCGAATCCTGAGTCGCTGCCTGACAGGGTTGCTGAGGAGAATGCTCCTTTGCGCGTCATCTCCCTCCAGCAGCTCATCGATGGAGATGAGGCGTGCCGCGAGCACTTGTTGAAAGCATGTGCCGATCTCGGATTTTTCTACCTTGACTGTCGAGAAGTTGCTTCTGGCCAGGTCATGGCAAATGTGCAATCCATGTATGACCTAGCCACAAGCTTCTATGACCTACCACAAGATGAAAAAATGGCGTGGCTTGTGGATCGGGATCACGACGAGCACTTAGTCATGGGGTCAGTTCGATCTCCTACCAATACACTGCGTTTTTAGGTCTGACGATGGATTGCCTTCTGCTGCAATAGGTACAAACCAGCGGGCCACGGCAACGGGCCAGTCGAAGGAAAGAAGGACGGATTCGAAGGGCTAATGGTGAGGCTCCATTCAAATTTCCAATGTCTCGTACTCCCATTTCTACAAGCAAAACCCTGACTTGAGAAGCTTTTCGAACATCCAATCTCGAAGATCAGCGACCCTTCGACCTTTCCAGGGCCTAGTGTGATCGCAACACAGCTTGACGTGTTGAAAAGCGCTACAGCAAAATTCCGAGAAATCAGTATTCTATTACTGTCTCGCCTTTCTGCCGCTTTGGGTATAGATGAAGAGCTTGCATACCAGCAATATCACCGCAAAAACGCCGTTTGCCCAACAGCCTTAGGTCTTCTTAAGTACACCCTCGCAGATGTTGAACCTGACAAAGTGGGCCAGATTGCTCATACTGATGCTGGAAGTCTCTCAATCGTCTTCACTGAGGTTGGTGGTCTCCAGGTGCTAAAGCCGAATGAAGATCAGTGGTACTACATTGCGCCCAAACCTGGGCATGCAGTTGTGAACGTCGGCGATGCGCTTCGCTTCATTTCTGGAGGAGTTCTAGAGTCCAGCTTGCACCGCATAATTCCCCACAAGGACGAAGTCACACGTCACAAGTACTCTATCGTTTACCTCTTACGACCTGAAATGGATGCCGAGTTTGTTGATACGGAAGGTGTTACTTGGAAGGGCCTCGAATGGACAAACAAGAAACATGCCGTGTTTCGTGCAACAGCTGAGGAGCAAGCCACGGGGACTTACTTGACTGGCAGAGACGGGTATGTTGGTTATTGGGATCCGGAGAAGGATCAGGAAAGTGAGACTATCATGGTTTAGTCAGGGACAAGATGAAATCGGTGCCTTATGCCCTTGCCTGTGTTCCTCGCTCAATGGCCAGGAAATACTACGATTTTTAGCATCATGAAGCGGTTTTTTTGTTGCTTATTGTAAGGGTAAACAAGCCTAGTTACCTTATCACCGCAATCCGTGGACGTATGCTTGAGTCACAGGTGACGGCGAAAGGCCAAGATTCTAAAATTTCGCTTTCCTGTTTTGCTCCTTTTGCTTGATTGCTATTTTTGATATGGCATATTATTGCAGACGTAGGAATCCTCTCAGCTAAGATTTCTTGGCATGGTTTGCTGCCTACTTCAATTGACGGAGGCAACCCGCCTTTTGATGCTTGTCTCGGTATTAAATTGTCGTGACTTTATCAACACGCGCTACTGAATACCATCTTGCAGCAAAGAGATTTCGGGTGTTATCTTTCCCTTCAAGTAGACGTATGTATGTTATGATGCAAGCCATTTTCGTAATTAGGTATACTCTACCTCATGCAGGAAATGGAGCTCACAGTAAGTACTTTGCTCGACTTTATACTTGTTCCCGTGTGCAATCGGAACAATGATTCATCGTAACAGCAGAACACACGTGATGTTCCCATTACCCGACACCTGATACGGATCATGGGAAGCAATAGTTCATAAATATGAATTGAGCTCTCGACAGTGATAAAGCAAACCATTATGTGAAGATTTGTAGTTATCTTAATGTTTTCTTTTCATATTTGCATGACGTATGAATAATATTACATGACTCATGCGCGGAGAGTATTGCTAGGTTTGAGTGATATTACAGTGACCTGATTTCCTCTTGCTCAAAAGGATAAGGACCAGTGAAGTCGAGGAAAGATGGATAACGAAATATGAAGGAATCGCTCTGAGCCCCAGAACTATCAGATTATTAGAAGCCAGAGCGATTAAAACTGCGGAAACTGTCAACGACAGCCGAAAAAATGTGGTTTCTGTGGAACAGAGGCTAAATTGTCATGGAATGATTGCGATATAGACCTAGGTAGCCATGCCGAAAATGGTAACACTCCGAAACAAATTGTAGGGCACGTCCCGAAGACTGAGCGAATGCCCTTTTCCCTCAGATATGCAAAGAGCTGCTCTGCACATCACCTTTCAATCATTTTACACATCTGTCTGAGAATCTGATTAAAGGCACAACTCATTTTATCGACGTTGTTGCTCGACCTTGCAGCTGCGGCGGCATTTAGCAGCAGCTTCGCCGCGCCTTCACAATGACTACCCTCGACATCAAAGAGACGGACATACCAAATTTGGCAGGACAGACTGCAATTGTCACTGGTGAATCATGTTGAGCCATGCTACTTAGTTCTTAATACTAATTACCATGAATAGGTGGTTCGTCTGGCATCGGATTGGCCACTGCAAATATCCTAGCATCTCGAGGAGCTAGCGTAATTCTTCTCGATGTCTGCCAGCCCACAGAGACACTACAATCCTCTGTACAATTTCGTAAATGCGATATCAGGCGCTGGGTTGAGCTTTCAGATGCATTCTCTCAGATAGGACGAGTCCAGATTGCCGTTGCGAATGCAGGAGTAGACGAAGACGGAACATATCTGAACGATTCGTACGATGACGATGGCGACCTTCTCGAACCAAATTACGATGTGGTCGATGTAAATCTTCGAGGCACTCTGAATTTCGTAAAGCTTGCTCTGCACAGCATGAGGAAACACAGCGTACAGGGAAGCATTGTGCTGACATCAAGTGCAACCGCTTATTCCCCGGAACAGTCCCTCCCTGTGTACAGTGGGACAAAGGCAGCAGTGAGTAGAATCTGACCGAGACTAATGACAAGACTGACCGAATTAGCTGATCAATTATTTGCGGGCGATGCGCTCAAATTTGCGAGACACTGGTATTACGATCAATGCTGTCGCGCCAGCCGCAACTATCACCGGTCTGTTGCCGGCGAAGCTCGCTGCTCCGATCATGGCTGCTGGCTTACCAGTGAGCTCTGCGCATTTCGTGGGGCTTGCAGTGGTGTATTCCGCCGTTGCCATGGAGGCCAAAAAGGTTCAAGCATACGGAAAGGATAATGCCGAGTGGAGAGAAGCGAGTGGCCGTTGGAATGGCAGAGTCATTCTTACGTTGGGTGAGAGGTACGCCGAGTTAGAGGAACCTTTGGCGGATTGTCGTAACATATGGATGGGTATCAAAAACTTGCGAGAGACCACAATGCAGCAAGCTGCCACAGATTTCAGAAGTAGTCTGTAGAAAAGATCATGTTCTATGCTTCTCCTCCAGCCCCTCATTCTGTGCCATGTTTCTGGAGGCAGGCCTAAAAAACTAGCAATGTGACGCTCCAAGTCGGATTTATGAAATTTCCGGTCCGGGAGAACCGCAGATATAAACAGTTCTTGTTGCTTCGGGTAATTCGAAGCTCTCTATCATCGTATCTCACATTGGCTGGGAGTTGATCGCAACTCTGAAGTCTGAACCCATTGTTCTACCGCTGTGAATACAACATTAGATGTGATGTCAGCCACAAACAGGCAACGAGGCGTAAGATCATCTCTACTTCTGTCTACATAGCAACGGCCACGAGAACTTGGGTCTAGCCTACCACCTCGTCGAAATAAAACCCAATGTCGCGTAGAACATCGTCTTCGCCCCTTTCCACAGTACTTTAACTTGCTTGATGGGCCAAACACTTTTGTTACAATTGACTAGAAATCAAGATTATACTTGCACAGTTTCAGACAACTTTAGCCCGGGCGCAGTTTTCCCTTTCACCCCATGAGAGTGGATTTGGTGTTTTCCTGTCGGCTGCCGGCCTCGCTTCATTGCCCGATTGGTATGGAGCCCGAGTCGCGGTCTCCTCGCAAAGTTTCCTAATCTAGCCCTTGGTGGTCAATGTGTACGACCCACATGCCCAATTAACTAGATCATTGATCAACGGCAGACACTTTCGTCTCAAGTACGGCACCCACGAAACTTGCGCTGCAAAGGGTTCGGACGCAACCTTTAACCTGTCCTCGACGACCAATCTCCTATCCTTGATTCGTTCGAGATCCATCCACCGGCAATCTTCCACCGACGTCAGAATGATTTCCCTCCATGCGTTGGCGTCTTTCATTCTACCGGCTCAGTCAACATCGCTGAAGGTTTTTGACCAGTCAGCCAAATCTGGTAAGAGGTCTTACAATCCAAGCAACCCGCCATCTGCGGCGCAGTTTACCGCCAAGATACACCCTCGAGAGCGAGAGGTTTCGGCGGAAGTAAACGGGTTTTTCCTCGATCACTGGCCATTTCCAGATGCGAAATCCAGAAAGAAATTCGTGGCTGCGGGGTTTTCACAAGTCACCTGCTTCTACTATCCTACCGCGTTGGACGACAGGATCTCTTTCGCCTGTCATCTCCTGACGCTATTGTTTTTGATTGATGGTGAGTGACATCCTTCCACAAGCTTAAACAGCAGACAAACCGAACGTCTTGCTAATACGACCGAATTCGCTGACACTGTGTTTTCATAGATCTCTTGGAAGACATGTCGTTTGAAGCAGGCTCTTCCTACAACGAGAGACTCATATCACTTTCCAAGGGAGTGTCTTTGCCGGATCGCAGTGTCCCAGTCGAATGGATCACTTATGACCTATGGAATGATATGAGGGCTTGCGATGAAGCCCTTGCCAATGAAATTCTTGAACCAGTCATTACGTTCATGCGCGCTCAAACTGACAAGACGCGGCTACAAATCAAGGAGTTGGGGCACTATTTGAAGTATCGAGAAAAGGACGTTGGCAAAGCGTAAGTCCGCTCGGATCCGTTCATTACTCGTCTGTTCAAGCACTCACAATTGTCTAGGTTGCTATCTGCCTTAATGAGGTTTAGCATGAAGCTGCATCTCAGCCCTGAAGATCTGAATTCGGTCGAGGATATTGAGATTAACTGTTCAAAACATATCTCGGTTGTTAACGACATCTATAGCTGGGAAAAGGAGTTGAAGGCTTCCCAGATAGGCCATAAGGAAGGGTCCGCCTTGTGCTCATCCGTGGCAGTTTTGGCTTCGGAGACTAGCCTGGACTATTCAGCTTCGAAGCGCATCTTGTGGATAATGTGTCGCGAATGGGAGATCCTCCACATCCAGCTTGTCACTAGTAGATTATCAAGTGGTGAAGGTTGCAGTCCGGATTTGCAGGCGTTCATGAAAGGCTTGGAGTATCAAATGAGTGGAAATGAGGCGTGGAGTAGCATTACACCGAGATACCATTCGGTTTAGTTCAACTTTATGCATGAATCTGTCTGAAAAAGAGTTCAATCAAAAGTTCCTGTTGAGTCGGACTTCCCACATGGATCATACTTTGGCTTCGGTACTCTAATACGAGTTACTGTGGTACTTCATTTGTTTCAAATGTTGCATTTGACAATCTAAATTCCTTGTACAATGTGCGTAACAACCTCCATATTCTTTCTTCTGATTAAGGTGGCATATATGACATACTAAGATATGCCATTAATGCTTTGCGACATCAAAGTTTTCTATTCAATAGAATGGACTCTACCACCGGCCAAGTGTGGAGAATCCTGCGACCGAGACGTGTTAACTTTTCTCTGGAAGTCACTAAGATAAGGTAGAAAAAGGCTTTATATGAGCGTAGCCATACTATTTTGAGGCTAGAAAGGTACAGTGTATGAGACAAGGTGAGTCCTTAGGCCTTGCATTCTAAGACTAGTCCTCCCTTACCAGTTTCCAACTGCTGTCTGACGTCCAAGTGGGACGTTGGCCTTTGACAAGGAAACATCCGCATCTATGAAATCGACGCTGTCAAGGGATTCAGCGGTATTTGAACCATTATTAGCAGACGCCAGCTTAGCTTCCAGCCGCTCATCATGGGCGTTGACAATGTCATTCGGCAGTCGCGCCAGAGCTTGATCAAGATCCTCGATAATATCTCGAACATCCTCTGTCCCAACCGAGAATCGAATGAATGCCTGCGCGATGATCTCATCAGCCAACGTAATATAACCGGGCGATTCAAAGTGATACTCACTGGTGTAATGCCTGCCTCTCTTCTATCCTTCTCAGACATGATAACATGAGTAGAATTCCAAGGGTGGGTGGCCAGGGTCTTTGAGTCGCCAACACTAATACGTATAATTTAGCAAAGCCTCCTTGTACTAACCATGCTGAATTTTACTCACTTTGTTTGATGAGATACAACCTTGACAAAGTTCATGAGCATCTTGCTAGCGGCGTCTCCTCCCTTGGGCCCAAATGAAAGGACACCTCCATAACCGTTTCTGAGATACTTTTTGGCGTTGTCGTGATATTGGTTTTTCTCCAGGCCTGGTAGTTTTGTCAGAGAAAAGCCAATTGATGATCTTGTATTGACAAATTCAACGTGCTAACTTACCGGGATAGTTGACCCACGCAATTCTTGGATGTGATTCCAAGAACTGGGCCACAGCCATTGTGTTCTTGGTATGTCTCTCACATCGTAGACTCAACGTCTCCATCCCAATGAGTAGCTGCTGTGCTGAGGCTGGACTCAAAATCGACCCGACCTCCATCAAGATGTCAATTCTCATCGCCATCGCAAATGAAATATTGCCGAAGGCCTTCCAGTATGAGAAGCTCATTGGGCCATCTTTCTTGATCATTCGAGGAAATCGGTGACCCGCTGCGCCCCAGTCAAAAGTGCCACAGTCAATGATGACTCCGCCAACGGTGGTACCGTGGCCACCCATCCACTTTGTGGCAGAATGCAAGATGATGTCGGCGCCAAACTCAATGGGGCGACACCATGTACCACAGGCACCAAATGTGTTATCGACCTTTGGACGTGTCAGCGTTGGAGATGACCATCTGTTCTGGATTACTTGCTACTCACCACAAATGGAACATGGTTCTCATGAGCCACATCTGCTAATCCCTGAAGATCAGGAATGCTGCAGCGAGGATTTCCAATACTTTCGACGAAGAGGAGCTTGGTATTCTCGTCGATATGTTTGGCAAACTCTTCTCGGGTCTCCTGTTTGGCCCACTTCACGGTGATCCCTAGCCGTGGAAGCAGTGTCTTGAAAAGGCTGTAGGTGCCTCCATATAAGTTGATAGAGGCCACAACATTATCGCCGGCTCCTGCTAGGCCGATAATGGTATTGAAGATGGCGGCCTGTCCTGAGGCCGTGGCTACAGCCGCAGTGCCTCCTTCCAAAGCGGCGGCCCGTTTTTCGAAGACTGCAACAGTTGGCTGCGAATGAGTTCCAGTAAATGTGACGCGATATCTGAAATAGCCTACTTGAAAGACTTACGTTAGACACTCTGCTGTAGAAGTAACCTGCTTCTTGAGTGGCACACACCCTCTTGGCATGCTCACTATCTGTGAATATGAATGACTGAGATCGTACTTGAGTCAGTTGATCATAGTCAATCATCAGCAATAAGATATTGAGGCTTACCACACTGTTGTAGATTGGGACAGCTCGAGCATGTGTTTCTATGTCCGGTCGATGTCCTCCATGAACTTGAAGAGTGTCATATCGAAGACCTTCGTCAAACTTCTCGACTTTGTAAGGCTGAAAAGCATCGTGCCCCTCAGGTAAAACACTGAGAGAGAGTGGGGCTGAGCTCGCCAACGGAATGTCATGAATTGGTTCTCCCATTGTGGAAAGATATATTGACTTGAAGCGTTGGAAGAATGTCAGACAATTTGATGCCGCAAATACTATGCGTATGTTGAGCCTGGCATTGTATGGGTATTATTTAATGGCGATGTTGAGATCTCAGTCACTCTCATTCGGGCTTCGGCTACCTTCCCTGTTGGGATTTGCGGCGGCCGACATCTCGGAATTCGCATACTTTGGGAAAAGCCCGAGCGCAATGATTCGAACCTCGCAAGCTCCGCGCCTCTTGTCAGGCACTATCTGCGATGCATAAGCAGTTTTTCTCGAGTGATTACGGTTCCGCATGCGCGCGATCCCATCTAGATCTTCGTGAAACTGTCAATACATCGCGATGAAGTCATTCTTTGATCCCGATCTTCTTCGACTCCAGCATTATGCTCATGACTATACCAATGGAAATCACGAGTTGGCAATGACCTTTTTGGGTCTCACTGTCGGAGTGATCGTTTTGCTACGCGCACTATTGCCAGAAAAACAAAAACTCGTCCCTGGTGTTCTGGTCGTGGGTGGAAGTGATAGACAGAGCATTAAGGCAAATCGAGAGAGATTTCGCCAAAATGCCAAGGAGATGCTTCAGGAAGGGTACAAAAGCGTATGTCAACTTCTAAGAGTGGGTTGGATCGAGTCATTCTTACAGTGTTCAGGCCAAAGGCGACTTCTTTTACGTTCCAAGTCCACTTGGAGAACGTCTGATGATTCCCTCAAAATACTTGGAAGAGCTCAAGACGGCCCCAATCGACCAGGTAGACTTTGTTGCTACATTCATCGAGGTAATAACTTCGGCCTTCTACTAAGTTACTTCATGTATGAGATTCTGATGCTACTTTGAAGATGTTTGAGGGCAAGTACACCACCATGGGTAGTAGATCGACCCTGCATCCTCGCGTTGTTAAGGCGCAACTGAATCATCATCTCGGTAAGTGATTTTACAAAGCCATGAGAGTTGATGGGTTGTTTCTAACAATTTGCAGGCGACGTAATGCCGGCAGTGCAGAATGAAATAGTTGACGCATTTGATGACACATTTCCTGCTTGTGAAGGTTTGCGCTCAAGAACTTGATAAACGGTTTTTCTTGGCTAACGTGAACAGATTGGACGCCTGTTCCAGTCGTGCACACATTGACGCAAATTGTGGCAAGAGTCTCGAGTTGCATGTTCGGCGGTACCACTCTATCTCACAATCGAGAGTGGGTGCAGTCATCTATTGACTTTGCCATTGATGGCTTCGTTGGCGCTCAGAAACTGAAAAGATATCCAGAGTTCCTGAAGCCAGTGGCAGCCCGTTTTATTCCAGAGATTGCCAAGATTGCCAGACACTACGCGGCTGCAGAAGCTGCAGCTATTCCACTGCTCGAGAGTCGTCTTCGGACCGGGGATAAAGCTGAAGATCTTCTGTATTGGATGGCCGAGCAGGCGAAAGGCGAAGAGCGTGACATGGCATTCTTGGCCAGTATTCTCTTGAAAGTCAGCTTCGCTGCGATACACACGAGTGCAGCTGCACCTGCGCAGCTCATTTACGACTTATGTGAACGTCCTGAAATCATTGAGACATTGCGGGACGAAGTCGAGAGCCTTACTGACAGCGATGGTTTGATTACGAAATCTGGCTTCCTGAAGATGGTGAAGATGGACAGCTTCATGAAAGAGAGCCAAAGGTTCAATCCTCTCCTTCTAAGTATGTTCACCCCAATGAGTTCGGACTTTTACAGCGGTCACCTAATATATCAACGTGTGCAGTCACATTCGAAAGAGTGGTTCATCAGCCGCTTACACTATCCTCGGGTTTTACGATTCCAGCTCATACCACCATTGGGATACCAACACAAGCTATCACCATGGATGAATCCTTTTATCCAGACCCCGAAACTTTTGATGCGTTTCGCTTTGCCAGAATGAGGGAAGAGCGCTCGGACATGGAAGGTCGCGCACAGTATGTCGCATCGAATCCGACATCCTTGAGTTTTGGCTACGGGCGCCATGCTTGTCCAGGACGCTTCTTTGCGGCTCATGAGATCAAGGCCATAATGGCCCATCTGTTGAAGAACTACGAGATGCGCTTTACACATGGACAGGGACGCCCGCAGAGTGCACGAGCGGAGACACAATATCTACCGGACCCTTGGGCGACTGTCGAGTTCAAGAGGAGACTCTAGAGCGAATACTGAAGTAGTTTTAGCGTGGTAGTGAACCGCTCTGAGGTGCACTGAATAGAACTGACTAATTTTCTCAATTTGTTTTCCTCAATTTTGAGTCTATCATCCATTAGTCTGTTCTATGAAGGCCCAAGCCAACATGAAGCCAATCTGTTTCTGATAGTATGAGCTCCTTCATAGATAAATACCAAGCTCCCCAGCAACTTTTTATCATGCACCAGGCTTTGGGTGACTTCCAAAAATTCAGATATTCACCGACCGGCTAGTGGCCTGAATCATCTAACAGCGCAAGGGAGCTCCATGCTCGAGTCTCTGCGACCATAAGCCACTCGCATTTACGCCACAGGAGAAAGTGGCCACAGTCGTTATTTCGCGGCGGGGTTTCAAATTCTCAACGGAGCAAACATCCTCCATCGGAGCCTTTCCGTCTTGGGCGTCTCCGATTTCCCTTCCTGGATACGAGTCTGGCGAGGGACCTTCCGACCACGTGTACCAAACCATGTCTGCTTGGTTGTCGTGACTATTCCTGGGAGACTTTCTGCTTCATAGCGAAAGTTTACTCTAACCGAGGTGCATAAGCCGTTGGCCGGTGTAGCTTACCCTAGAATGTGTTGTAACTGAAGTGGGTACGCTGTAGAAACGTTGAGCCGGAGAAGCCGCCACCATGAACCACAGTGGCGCTTGGAAACAGCCCTGGTCACAAGGTCTGAAGCGACTACGGACTGTGCATAAGATGGAGGTAGAACGGGCGTCTAGATAATTGCTATAGCGTGTGCGCGACACATAATGTTGACTCGTGGGCATACTGATGTTCTGGTGGATGGCCAAGATCTAGGCCTCTCGGCGACGTTCCATTTTAGCAAACTTGAGGCTGATACAGCTGTTCTCCTTCAGGGCATGTTTCTCATTGATGGAACGCTAGACCTGTTACAGTGCTTCGGGGGCTGTGGCTAATCAAGCGTAACGCTCGTATATTTAAGCTTCTGCGAATGCATTCGGGACCGGGGAAGTAAGAATTAAGGTTTCGGGCTTGGGAACCTTGAACCCGGCTTGAGGCCAAGACATCCATGATCATTCAGAAGTCCAATGAGGTCTTCGACTTGAATGACTCGGTCTCCCGGCTGTCACCAGGATTATCGGCTAATCTACGGGGATGAGGTCCCTGGAAGAGGAAACGGTTCGATAATCTACGGATAGATCATCGGGTAGCGGCTGAGACCGAGGACAGGAGAAAGGAGATTATGCCAAAGCTTGGCGAAATATGTCCATAACCCAAAGGTAACTGAGTGGTATCTGCAACCCCGAGGCGGACAGACGTTGGTCGAACCCCATCTATATTTCTCGCAATCATTTGGCTTTCGAGTCAGAATATTCGATTTATCTCTTAATGTGGATCTTAAGATTCTAGAATTTTCCCTAAAGATGTACGACGTCGAAGGAGATGCTCAAGATAGAATCTAGATACGCCTCATGACTGCCCGCTCAAAGCTTCCTGCAGTTCTTCAAGACGGAGGCAAATGGGTCGTAGCGAGTTCTGGTGTGGCGTCCACCTGTGTCTGTCAACTGAAAGCCGCAAAGATTCTAAAAAGCCCCCAAGCTGCCGTACTTGCAGCAGAATTATGAAACCAAAAATCTCACATCGTTCATGGACGGTATCAATCTGATATTGTCCCAGAAGGACAGGAATCCAACGGTGTGCATGTCCGTATGCCTCAATCCTCCCGTCATCTCCGAAATTTGAGGCTTGAGAAGCACATTCCCAAACAGATGCAATATCCTCTAATATGGCCATAATCTTCTCGGCTAGCAATATTGAGAATGTCATTACCCTGGAACGATTCCGGCACGAAGAGCAATGACTTATGGATCGGCATTGGGATATTGACTTTTTGAGCAGATGTAGGGAGGTTTCTGCCATGCAAAAGGTCGTAACCTTGCTCTGCGTCTGCATTTTCTCGAGCAAATTCAGCGTCACGCCAACGCAGCGACAAGACGCTGCGGCTGCGATGTGAGCCTGTGAGCCAGGCCCAGTGATCGGGCTGCCATGGCTACGGTTGACAAGCAATGGACTTGGGGCATTCAAAGGAAAGTTGTTTGGTTGGTGGCCAGGGGTGAAAGGCACCGCGGAGCTGACACCGTGCGATGAGAGACTAGACGGTGCCCGTTTAGTGGCAACGAAACCATAAGAGACGTCATGAGATATGTCATCCCTTATGCGTTTGCTCTTAGGCCGCTGAATAGCATCCCATTGAGAATCATCTGCATCTGCTTAGCAACAATCATTTGATTTAGACAATGGCTGAAGCTTTCAAGAGCAGCGTTGCGTAGCTCATAGCTGGAAAGCTCTGACTTACCTGACGACGAGCTGCTTCTAGCAAAGCTAGTTTCCCGTGTGATTTGGACGTTGAATGGAGTTGAAGTGGATGCAAATGCTTTGCTTAAGTCATGGCTTTCAGCTTCCTTTTCAGACAGGTTTATCTCGGCGTCAAGTAACTGTAAGTCGTCCATGTCAAACTCATGCAAGTCTGACTCCATGTAATCTGGAAGGGCCAGATCCTCAAATTCAGGTGGTGTGCCAGAGGACTCCCTTTCCAGCAGGGTGCTTGGTGATTGGCCCGAGCCAACGAATGTTGGCGTTTGGATGAGCAAATTGGCTGACTGGGAGTCCATGTCAATCTCGGCTCGCTCCGGTGACAAGATTTGATCCGATGCAGCACCCTTTAACACACATTTGGGTTCAGACAACTGCTCCGGATGCGCCGATTGTAATCGCTCTTTGGGTGATCCAGAAAGGACCATCATCGGCGGTTCTTCTGACGTGGACGGTGTGACCTCGCGAGGCGTTGCGCTTTTGTGCGGCGCCGGGGGTCTTCCACCTTTGCGACGCCTTTGTGGTAGAGTATTGGAATATGTGCAAGCCAGATTTCGATCTCGGCATCGTTGACAGCCAAATCTGTGTCCAGTACATTTTAACTGAGTGAGCAGGTCAGCGCGGTTTCTCGTGAGGTTCAGTCAATCAATCGGTTTTACCTTCTTTGCTCGGCAGCCGTCACAAGCAAAATGATTGGTGTTCTGACCTGGTTGCGGTAGTTGGTGTGTACTTGAAATGCATACGACCTCTCCATCTCGGTCTTCGGTTCGAAGCGTCGCAAACATGTCGAGAGAGTCGAGTTTTGCGTCCTAACCCAGAAAGTTTTCGGTAAGTTGGGACTAGACGAACGATATCACCACATTCTGGAGCAGAAGATCTCCAATTTGAACCATCTGAAAGCTCGATAGAGACCATCTGCATGTCGTGAGGCGGAGTCCGAGGAATGCAGGGTGCCTTGTCCATTGATGTAACTCTGGTCTAAGCTGCGTCTCCGCTGAATGTCTTGAGATAAAGGGCAGTGAACTTTATTCCTAGCGTCGAACTCTAAATAAAGTTTCCTTCGCGCGGTCATTTCAGGATGAAGAATCCCAGATTCGCATTATTCTCGTACCACTTATTGAGTCGTTTTGCCCTCTGGGACTCAGTGGTCCGGACCTGGCTCAAAACACGTATATCCCACATCGCGGGATGGCGCCATGACAGCGGCTATGATGATGGACCGAGGTCCGGGTTGTCAAGCATCAGTCCCTCAAGTTATCTTCCCCGCGGTGTCTGCCCCGGCCCCCACACAATACGGGCCATGTCACTGATCACAAAGCAAAACTCAATTTCTGAAGGAAGTCAGACAAAATCAATATCTTCGTCCGGTGTACCATCCCTCACAAAACTCGACAATAGTCAGGCATAAGTGCCAGAGCTCAAGGTTCGTTGGACGGTTCGGACTGCTGTCTTGGAAGCGAACCCCGGACCGAGACAACCGTGCTCAAAGTTTGAGTTATTCATATACAAAACGTCGTCTCAAGTTTCCTTCTGGAAGACCCTGAATATCATGTGTGTGGATGAGACTACGAGTCTCAGAGTATCAAGAAGCGGGCCTAGCCACGTTCTATCATCTCCACTGTCTGCTTGCTCCACCGACCTTCGATCGAGGCCGACATTCAGTCCGGGTTGAAAGCCGTGCATAACCCTGCAACAGTCGAATGAAACTATCCACTTCCTCGGCGCCCCTTGCCTCGCCCTCACCTCGATCGTTCACCGCCGTTTCCCCAGCCCCCCAACTGCCCCTCTCGTCTCGATTGACAGGTCATATCAATATCAGGGTTGTGTTTGCAGGATCGGCAAAGTGATTTCTGGGCGAGAAACCCATAGACGAAACAGGATGTATGCCGAAAAATACGATAGCCTCGCCACACTGCTTCTCTCATCTTGGTCCCTGGGGTGTGGATTTTAAGCGCTGCGATGTGCAACGGGGTAATAATGAACCGCTCTTCGTACAGGGGTAGTGAAGCATGGAATTCATTTCCAAACGTTGAGTAAACCCTGACATCCCGCCGGGTTCTACCACCCTCTAGATATTGAGTCCGAGGACTTCCGTACGCTTCAGGGTTCCAAGGAGTAACTGTTAAGCTATTAAGGGAATTTTCACACTCTTTCAGGCCTATTAGTAGCAGTCGATTGCACCATGTGAATCAATGTGCGATGTCAGATTCATATTGTGAATCACAATGCCTCGACGGATGGGTCAAATTGCTTGAGTTGCATGCTTAAATGTGGAAGTTTTTGTTAATGAACCCAAACTGCAAAACCGCCAGGGTAATGATTTTTGAAAAGCTCTTCGAATGCTCTGTCTGGCTATTGCTTGTCCTGTGACTGGCCCATTTTTGCCTACTTGGTCAGATCCTGAACCCGTCGATGCCAATATTTCAATCAAGTGGACGCAGAGGCCTCTGTCTCACGCCATCATGTCGCAGACTTGAGGTTCATACTCCGGGGCTCATGGGTCTTTGCTTATTTCAAAGTCGGTGTTAGCTTTTATAGATGATTACTACAACTGACGTTCGGATAATAATTTGACTCTTAAGATGAACGAGTAACATAAGCTTCAGATTGACACAAAGCAACCTACTGAAAAGTTTTCTAAATACTCACCAGTTATGCAGTTTCAGTATAGTTACGACGTGCTGACAATTAAAACATGCCAAAACTTGCGTATAATTCATTGATTTAATGCTTGGTTTGAGGCTCTAAAAAGTTAGAATTGTATCTCAGCCCCTACGGTGTTGGGGTGGATTTATATAACGAATCTTGCCCTCTTATGGAACATGGAAAGAGCTTCTATCGTTGACTTCTTGAGTATGGGGAGCATAGAAACACATCCACCTTTAACTACCTACTTTACATTCGTAATTGAACTGTCCCATCAGTGCTTCTGCCAAGACTACGCCATTTAAATCTACTTAAAAAGTTGTCAACTAGGCACATTCCACCAGCCTACCTCAATCTCGAAAGTTGGCATGACGCAGTCCCTGATGATGGTATTTCGATACAGACAGCGTTTTGTCCTAGCTGAGCAAAAAAAATATCCGCGAAGAGTCATTCATGGTCTACTAGGCGAGGAGACTCGTAATGTCTCCTGCTGTTTGGGGTCCGGCGCTTCTTGGAGCCTCTCGGTAAAGTGGGTGTCGCCGTGCCGGTAACTCTGCCCTAGTAACCTGCCAACTATACTTCAGTCTTCTCAGATGGGTGATAGGAAATGTTATTTTTCCCAAGTATTTCCTCCTTCGTGGCTACTCCCAATCACATATCCTGTCGCCACCAACACAGAACGAACCCCAGCTTACCCGCCCCGAGGCCCCACCCCCGCATTTCAGCAGGACATCCCGATACTCCTCATGCCTTTCCCAATGAAACCTCATGGTGGTCCCGGGGCCTCTTTACAACGTTCTTTGGAAAATGTGCAACCAAATGCCTCCCAGGCTCCGGTCGTCGTAGTATCCGTCTTTACATATAAGCCATTTGGGCGAGCCTGGGACATTCTTCAGACCACTTTTTCTCACCTGTGATCACATCATCCATCTCACTTCAATTCTGCTCTCGACTGTCGTAGTACTCTATGCACTTGAAACACGATGTCAATCTTGCCTGTTCAGGAGATTCGTCTGCAAGAAGATATGGACACTAAGTTGAAAGAACAAACACTGGGAACAGTTCAACTCCGCCACAATGAAACTAATGAAATCATTCTGGTACCCACGCCCTCAAATGACCCCAACGATCCTTTGAACTGGTGAGTATTGATTCATTTCAAATTGCCACGAATACCCTGAGTCGGGGGAGGCTTGCGCTGAACCATAACGTACCAGGTCACCAACCCGCAAATACTACATTTTTTCGCTCACTTGTTTTGGAATCTTCTTCGCCCATGCCGTCATTGTCGGGCCTGCTGTTGCCCTGGAGTTAATCACTCTTGAGTTCTTTGGTCCTGGACCTGAAACTGTGTCAAACAACATTGCTAAAGCATCATACCTTCAAACCGGGTGTTCACTCATGATTGGTGCGGGCAATCTAATCTGGGTGCCTCTTGCAATCAAATACGGCAGAAGGCCCGTTTACATCGCGTCCTACCTTTTACTTACGGCAAGTTGCATATGGAGTGGAGCAGCGGCTTCTTTTGGCAGTGCACTTGTTGGCAGGCTCTTTCTCGGCTTTGCTTGTGCTGCTGCGGAAATCGTCGCACCCTTGACAATCACTGACCTGTTCTTCTTGCACCAACGCGGGCGTGCCATGGTGTCAGTCTATCCTTCTTTGCTTACCATCCCAGGAGCGCCTCAATTATGATGAAACGATTCTGACAATCTGTATTAGTATCTACACATGTTCCTTATCTGCGGGTGTTGGTGTCGGCGTAGTGTTTTCGGGCCTGATCACACAAACTTACAGCTGGAGGATGATATTCTGGGTATTTTCTGCCTTCGTCGGGACTTGTACGGTTCTAGTACTGTTTACCTTTCCCGAAACAAATTATCGAAGGCGATATATAACGGAGGTAGAGGTAGTATCATCCAGGCACGAATCCGCCAAGCCGTCTTCTCAGTGTCTTGAGAACCCTCCCTCTTCTTCACACACATCATCTCCATCGACGTGGAAGACCTATTTGGCGACTATGAGAATCTTCTCGGGGACTTACACTAGCGAGCCTCTACTGGCTCTGATGTTCCGTCCGCTTGTCGCCATTACTCTGCCAGCCGTGTTCTGGGCGACTTTGATCAACGCAATCACCACTGGCATGATCGTTGTGAT